AGGAACCCCAGTTCTGGCTGCTCTTGGTCAGGAGACCAGAGGGGACAGACCCTGCTGGCAACTGGCTTCTCTGCAGGCAGCACAGGAGAGGAAAGGGGGACACTGTGCTGGGTGGGTCTGTGATCCAACACCCCTATCTCTGTGACAAGTGTGTGCAGTGCCTGGGTAAGGAAGGGGTTAATCTGCCTGTTTCACCCAAGCCTGTGGGATTCATTGTGAGCTGGGATCAGATAAGATGGCCAGGGAGGGGATGGCCACTACCGCAATTTCCAATTTCGGTTCAGGGATCCCAGCTCTCCCCACCCGGGAGTGTTGTGGGTGCAGTTTTGCATTGTCCCTAACACAACCTCTCTGCTGCTCCTGGGCAGTCCCACCCCGCGGTTCCCTCACATGCCCCCACCACACGCAAGGCTGCCTTTAGTGGCTGTGGGGACAAGCAGGGGACGCTAACTCTGTGTCTTCTGCTGCCTCAGGGAGCTGGTCTGGCCTGCCTGACATGGAAAAACAGCAGCAGGAGGCAGGACAGGAGCACCTCCTCTGGCAGCAGCATGGTCTTGGATTGGCTTCAACCAGGGAGTGTGCCTGGTTTAAGATGGAGGGCTCGGGGCTGCATGATGCTGCTCTGCCCTGGCACTGCTGCAGGCGTGTCCCTGCATGGCCAGGGTGTGCCCACAGCCCCCCAGTTTCTCCAAAACTGCCTCTTGGGATGTTTCCATCTCTTGTTGCCCTCAGCCCAGTCCCCAGTTCACCACTGCCTAGCACCTAGGAGCATTCAGGATGCGAGCCATGGAGTGAAGACACGCCAGCACCGCGCACCGCATAAAGCTGACTCCAAACCCATCCCACACCTGTGCCCAGAGCCTGTGCCTGCTTGTCACCCCGCCACTGACCAAGGTCTGTGAGGAGCCACCCGATCATCAGGACTTTCCAGCGCTGTGAGCTTCCCTCCAGCTGTGCCAGCGGGTGCCAGCCATCTCCCTTCCCCGGCTGCACAGAGGGACACAGAGACAGATGTCTCTGTCAGAGCAGAGCGAGCTTGGCTTGCTGGGAATGAATGGGAATTTGATTATGCTGCTCTGCACAGCCGGGCTAACACAATTAAAAGGCTAGAAGGCAGGACTCAGAGGAAGGAGGCCTCCTCTCTGCCCCTTTCTCCCTGCAGCTGGAGGGTCCCCTTTCCTTCCTCCCCAGCCCCTGCCCTGCCAGCTGGGATGGAGGGGGCTGCACACCCTCTGCCCCAACATTTCCAGAGCCCAGACAGATCTGAAGGCAGGAGGAAGAGAAGACAGCAAAGAGCTGAAACCACCCACCTCCTGCTCCCCAGCAGACCTTGCCAGTTCTCCCCTCTGCCCTGCCTGTGCCTGTGACCAAGCTCCCTTGCTATTTACATTACAAAGCAGCCCCCTCCACTCTGATCTCTGGGTTATATTTAGCTTCCTGGCACAGAACGCCCTATGAGATGCATTAGCTGTGTCCTCTCTACCAGCCGGGGACCGTGCTGAGCAGCCGAGATGCCCCACATCTCGCTAGCAGGGAAGGGAGCTGACAAGAGTACGTCCCACTTCGCTCCACAGGGGCTAACGTCAGCCTGGGGGGCACAGAGGGCTACAGGAACCCCTCTTCCCACTGCTGCAAGATGCCTGTGAGGAGCCCTGTGGTGCATGGGCTGTGCTGGGTGCTGCCTCCGAAGGTGGCTGAGAGCAGGAGGGGACCTGTCTGATACCTGGCCCATCCCTCACCCCATAGACAGGGAGCCCATGCAGCAAGCTTTTGTGCGCTTGTGGTTTCCTTTCTGGGTAAACACCTCTGTGGTTGCTGGGAGCGGTGACAGTGACAAAGGCTACTGCTGCAAGCATCACCCCGAAAGCAACTGAGAAAGCACCAAAGATGAGAGCGAGCCTGGAATGGCGCAGGAGAGGCTGCAGGATGCTGCCATCCCAGGCGTCCCCTGCTCTGGGTCACAGGGTTTTTCCTAGACCAAAGATCCTCCAGCCTCTAACCTGCCTTATTGTCACTAGAGCTGCCCCACTTGAGGAGCTAGAGATGCTCCTGCTCCACTGCAACACCTTGGTGGAGACACCTGAAGTGAGCAGGAGCTGACTTCAGACTCCCCTTGGCCAAAGTGACTCTCCAGGGAGTGAGGCAGAAAGCCCTGGCCCTTCCTCAGGGTTTTCCGTGGTGGCAGAGAGCATGGGGCCATTCTGGCATTGCAGAGGCAGCTCCCTACTGGGAAAATTATCCCAGAATGTGCAAATCTGGTGCATAAGCCAGCATCATTAATAAGCTTGGCACGAAACTGCTACTCAAAGCCCTAAATATAACCTGAGCGCTGAGCTCTCTTCCACCCAAGGCGCTTCCATACACCGCAGCAGCTATTTATGGAAGGAACTTTATTTCCATGGGCTTAATATCGTTTCTGCTCATTTCAAAACCTTTATATAGCAGCTCATGCCACCTGCCCCTTGTGATGACTAATGGGTCCCAGCAGGAACAGGCAGGTTGGCAGCAGCAGGGCTGGGGCCTCCAACCTTCGCTTGACATTGAGGACACTTGTGATGCCCACAGCCCATGGAGGAGGCCCTCCAAACTCGTACCAGGGTTCTGTAAGTGCCTCCAAAGCCAGGCAGCATGGCGAGGGGATTTCTGTCAGCCCCCTCAGGGCTTCTTGTGCTGCAGGAGGGGCACCTGCTGAAATGTTAGCCCAGCTCTGGACAACAGCTCCATCACCGCCTGACCTGCCCCAGGGAGCAGCCAGACCCGACCCTGCACAGGCGTCACAGGACGGCACAGGCAGATTTCCACCCCCAGACACTCCCTCTCCCATTTCCCCTTCCCTTTGCTCAGCTGCCCGAAACAGAGGGTGGGGGAAGCAGCTCATCCCAAACACAGCCTCCACCCTCGCTGCTGGCCCGCAGGTAGATGCAGCATCCTCTCCGACCCCGCCAGACTCCTCTCTTTTGCAAAGCCCATGTCAGATGGAGCAAAGCCCCTCTCAAAGAGAACCCTTGTGAGGGCCGAGGAGGACAGAGGCGCTTTGCGGAAGGGCGGCACAGGCTGGAGCGTGTCAGCGGAGCCGCCCGCCTGGGGCGGCCAGGGTAGGACGAGCAGGATATAAACAATTCCCAGCAACCTTAGACAATTCTGGAGCAAATTCAGGCTGATCAAATTAGGTTGCAATATGGTCCCTTCCTCCCCTGGGGAGGCTGGATAATTGCAGCTGGCCAATCCGTTCGCAAAACACACTGTGCGCATCTGGAGGAAGACAGCTAAGAGGAGAAAATCCTGCTTTGCCCCCTCCGCTCAGCACGGTAATCCCTCATCCTCGGTGGCATCAGGACAGAGACCCTCATGGCCCTGCCCAGTGCCTCAGTGAGCTGCCCTGGCTACCGAATAAGGGCTAGGAGAGCTGCACGTTTCCCTAGCCCATGGCGAGGCTGAGGGACACAGGGCTGCCTCGGGGAGCACTCTGCCACCCTGGCTCCCGCTTGCCACCCACTGCAGGAATAAGAAGAGCTGGAGATGAGTCAGCTCCAGGGCTCCTCCTGCTCTGCAGGCATTAATAGAGTTGCCCATCAGTTCCCATTACGGCGGTATTAGAGAGCAATTTGCTCACAGTTTGCACCACAGCCCTTGCAAGGGGGGAGAAGGGCTGCTGTACGCATGGGAGCACAGCCGGGGGGTGACTGATATAGCTCCTGCCCAAAATCTGACCCCCAGCAGGGCTTTGTGTCCCGGGGTCCCCGAGTCCCTGGCTGGCGGCAGGAGAGCCCTGCCAGCCTCTGCCTGCCACGGCAGCAGGCATGGCACCAAGATCCTCTGTGACGGTTTTCCACCTGCTTGTAAACTACCTGGCGCTTGCTGAGCACAGCATGACAGGGTAACACTGAGCCCAGGAGGACACAGAGATGTCCCTGGGCCAAGCCAGCTAAGGAGAAGGGTATGGAGGCAGCTCCTGCCTTCTTCCCTCCACCGAGTCCCAGACCCTCGCAACAGCCCAGGGTCAGCCCTGCAAGTGCTCGCTTTTACTCCAGGCAGGCACAGGGTTGAGGGATTTCTTCTCACTCACACCTGAGAGCCATTCTGCAAATTTCAGGGTTACTAAATGGTAGAAGGGCGGTAAGCGGTGAAAGAAAGGGGAGACACCAGACCTTATTCACTGTGAGAGAAAGAATAGAGCTGAGCTCCTGGAGGTGCTGACCCAAGCAGGATTCTGGACAGTATGGTTGGAGTTGGGAATAGAAGCTCACCTGAGCGTCACCAGGCAGTGGCTCCCATAAGCTCCCTGGGAGCTATGAAAACCACATTTTGCCTTCACCGGCTTTATTTGGATATAGCAGGGGTGGGTGAGAAGGGCAGTCCCGGCAGAAGAATTGCACCAAAAGCCAGGACAGGTACTCGTCTTACTGCAAGGTGCCCGCAAAGGGCACATTTCCACCCTAAGCCCCAATCTCAGCCCCTTCATCTTCGCATTGTTGCTCAGTCTCCCCAGGTGGGATCAAGGTTTCCAGACCTGGGAATCAAGCAAGGGCATATTTGCCTTGGGGCAGAGGAGGAAAAGGAGAATCAGGACTATCAGAAGTCCCTCGTATCCACTGCACTGACCAGTGATAAGCAGCCAGTGTTGAAGAGAAAGAGGGAAACGTCCAGCCCACAGCTCTGTGCCAAAGCTCATGGGAAGCTGTTGGGCACAGACCACCTGGAGAGGGGCCTGGGAGGCATCATAGCCCCAGGATGGGAAAGGGGAGTTGGGTAGAGGGAGGAGTAAGGGGGCCTGTGAAGATGACAAGAGGACTGCCACTCGAGAGGGGGCTTTTGCATGGGTGGGGAGGGAAGGGACTAACCAGACCCCTGGTCCCTGTGGTCAGATGTTTTCTGGCGGGAAGGCACTGAGGGCCAGTGGGAAGAGCCAGCCCTGAACCCGTAAGAGGGAGATGCCCCCCGGACAGGGCACTCCTCCATCCCAGCCCAGCCCCAGCATTCAGGGACCCGGGGGCTCCTACCTGTAGGAGACCTGCTTTCTGATGGCCAAGTGCAGGAACTGCTCCTCCACCTCTGCCACCGCCACCGCCCCTCTCATCTCCCAAGCTGGATCCATGCTGCGGAGGCCTGTGCCTTGTGCTTGCCCACTGTTCTCTGCATCTGCTGCTCCCCAGAGGCTTGCTGCAGCCCCGCTGGCCACCTCGCCATCGCCCCTGGCTGGGGTGAAGCCTCTCCAGCTCCCAGGACCTTCAGCCATGCTGGAGTGAGGTGACTCTCCAAGGCGGGGAGTCCTGCTCTGCCCCCACAAGCTCTCAGGGCAGCTCTGGCCGGCCCTGCAGGGTCCCACGGTGCTGTTCTGCTTCGTCTCCCCAGGGCCGTGGGACAATCCCAGCGAGGCTTATCTCCCTGGGGTGGCACAAGCACAGAGAGAAAAAGCAGCGTCCAACTTTTTGCAGTGATATTTATTGGCCTCTTGATAGTGGTTTGGGGAGCTCAGGCACCGCAGCTCAGCCTCTCTCTGTCTCTGCTGCCTTGCCACTGCGAAGTGGAGGAAAAGCCAACAGAAAACCGGAGATTGTTGGTGCTGCTTCTCAGAGGTGCCGGCACTGCAAGGGCATCAGGGAGGGAGCGGGAAACACGGCGCTCACCAGAGAGAAGGTCTTAGGAGAAAGCACATCCAGGGATGGTGATGCTCCCAGCAAGCGAAGGAGAGCTCTCAGGGTGCCTTCTGCGAGGTCCCCCCAGGGCCAGGCATGTCCCTCGGCGTCCCCAGCAGCAGCAGCCGAGCAGGAGAGGCAGGCAGAGGTAGACAGTGAGGAAGGTGCCTGTGCACCGATCCTGCAGCAGCCCTCAAAAGACAAAGCAGAAAGTGAGCGTGAGTGTGTGCGTGGGGAGGGGGGCTGCGGGGAGCTGCACTGAGCGAGGCAGCCTGGTGTCACCTTAGAGACACTCGGAAACTGGCACTTAACCCTTTGGAGGCCGGGGAGGCAGAGGAGGGTGACAACTCATCCACCCCTTGCTGCTCGCAGCCCAGCTGGTGTCTGCCTGCCTGCAAGGGCTGCTCAGGGAGCTGGGTCTCAGCTGCTCATCTTAACCAGATGCGCAGTCAGGTAAAGTCAGGCAGCCTGGGAAACTGCATGACAGCAGCCCCAGCAGAGCGAAGTACCTGCTGCTCTGGCTGACCATCCACCACAGATGATATCTGTCCAGGGATGGGGTCCCCAGCTCTGGGCAGTGGTACCCAAGGAGAGGTATGGCCGTAGCGCAGCTTCCCTCCTCCCAGCAGGCTCACTGAGCTCCCTGCCACTTGGGAGGCCGCATTATCCCAAATTTAAGGCATTTTCTTCTCCAGTCCTGGCATTCAGAGGTAGAAGTCCCTCTATCAAGAGATGCATCGTCTCTCTGTCCTGGACTGGAACTGGATTTTGTGACCCCAGTCCCAGCCCTGGCCAGCCTCGGTCTCACCCACCTCCGGTGCTGCAGGTGCCAGCTGGGGTGGGAGATCTCCACAAATCTCCCGTATGTGCCTGGCTGCTTGTTTTGGATTTGGTTTGCCCCAGATTCACACACTGAGGCTTTACCTGCTGGGCACTGGAAAATTTGAGCTTTGGGTCTGTGAGAACCACTCCCTGCATCAGTTTCTCATGGCAAGGTCCGACAGTTGTGTAGTACATCAAGAACACATTGCCATCACCCCTAATCCCAGTTTCTTCCCATGAAGGGCTGGCACGATGGGAGCTGGAATGCGTCCTCAGCTTGCTCTGACTGTTTGATCACCTTGGGCATTGTCAGGAGCAGCTCTCTCCTGCCAGCTCTCCCCATCACCTCCATGCAGCCCTGTGGCACCTCTGTTGCAGGGTGTCAAGGCAGGGCACATTCCCACGCCACTCATGACCCCAACCTGGGAAGCATCAGGGGCTGGAGAAGAGCTGTGCCTTTCCCTGGGAACCACAGCCCACCAGCACCTCCAGTTCAAGTTACTGGCTCTCTAGCAGGCCCTAAATGTCACAGTGACATCTCCCCCTCATCCTATGCCTCCCAGGGGCATGGCAGCCCCCGAATCCTCTCCTTTGCACAGTCGTGACTTGCAGGGAGTCCCACACTCTCCTTACTGCATGACTCAGCCCCTTCAGCCCCCACAGGGGTTTTGTTCCCCTTGAAAGCAGAGCTGGCCCCGGGAAGGCATCTTCACCCTCACTTGCTGGGATGGAGACCTGCCAGGGAGCTTGTCAGCACTCCCCACACCGATGCACGGCACTGCTCCATGCCCTCCTGCCACCCATGGGCACCGCGGAAGATGGGAGCAGGCTGTGGGAAGTGGGAAGCAGCAGGTACCTGGCTGGCGCAGAGGGACCCACGGGGCGATGCCTCTCTGCCTGCACTGGGGCTCACCCTGGCCTGGGGGTGCCCCCATTGGCCATGTGCTATGACAGCCACCCGCACCCACCCTGGCCGGGCTGCCCAGAGGAGTTCTGTGGGTTGCAGGATGCAGGTCTACTCATGCTCCCAGGAGATTTTGACAGACACCTGTCTTGTCCCTCATGGTTGAAGGAGGCAGTGGCCGCCATGCTGAGGAAGGGGATGGCCAGGCTGGGGTGGGTGCAAGTCAGGGGCTGGGGGAGCACAGGGTCCTAGTGAGGGAAGGAGGGGAGAGCGACCTGAGGGTCATTTCTCACTGGTGGCTGCATTGGTGCCAGAGAAAAGGAGCTTCAGGGAGGGAAGCAGAGGCCCTCATTGCAGGAAACCTCCCAACAGCAGAGCCACCGTGGGTGACGCACCTCTGATAGAGGCAGAGGGAGGGGGAGGACAGTAGGTACCTCTGCCTTCTCACAGGGGCTGATCCCGTGCTACAGAAAACGTCTCTGGGGAAGGAGTAGCCAGCAGAGGATTTTGCCCCTTTCTACCCATGTGCCAAACTGTATGGCTGCCACAAAGGCAGTGCATCCAGATTTTGTGTGTCTGGAGGAGACATCATGGGATATGCCTGCATGAGGGGAGGTAAGGATTGCCCAGGCTTCTGCCTCTCTCTCTCTGCTCACCTGTCTCTGCAGGACGTTTCACATGTCTCACTAATGGGGTCACCCTTCCCTTGGAGGATGCTCCTGGAAGACCTGGGAAGAGTAGGCAGATGCTGGCTGAGGACAGCGTGGCTGTGTGGTGGATTTAGGTCAGTTCTGTCCTCCTGGCACCCAAGACACCCTTCATCTGAGCCAGGTCACCCACTTACCTGGGGGTCACCCCCTTACCTGGGCCACAGGCAGGAAAGGGCCTCTCCTGTGCCCTGGGTGGGGATTTCCTTCTGTGAGGGGACACAGGGCCGTACAAGGGCAGCTCGGTGTTATCATACAAACCCTGTCCTTGATTTTTCAGGCACAGGCAGGGCACGAGCCTTCTACGAAGCATTTCTGGCAAGTTAAGCTCTGGGAGGGTACAGTCTCCTCCCCTGGGCACAGGAAGAGGAATGTCCACTCTGTTTGCCTGTAAACCTGGTTTCAGCCACCAGATTAGAAAATCAACACAGGTTTGTTAAGGTTGAGGTGGGCTGGGTCAGCATCCAGCCTGGTGCCATTGCTATTAACAAGCCCTCAGCACCTGGGGGTGTCAGGAGGTGCAACCGCCCCGTTCTCCACAGAAGGTGTCCAGAAGCCCAGGCTCAGGCTCCTTGCCAGGCAGCAGGACCAAAGCCTGCCGATCCCATGATGGATCTGTGTGAGCACTGCTAGTAGAGTCCCAAACGCTGACAGCAGGAGGGACCATGCTGGGCTCAGAGAGCGGGGATGCTGTTCTGAGAGCCCTAATAGCACATGTCCTTCTGTAACAAACTCAACGTACCCGTCAGGCTGCTGCCACGCACTGCCAGTGGCCTGCTCGGAAGTGGTGAGCAGCAAAAGCCAATTCTTTTCTCTTTTTTTTTTTCAAGTTGGCCTGGTAACAGAGAACAGTTGGGAATAATTTGTCTCTGAAAAATGAAGCCCATGTTCCGTTAGCGTTCTTTTATTCAGGGCTTGTACGTATTGACAGTGCAGAGAGTTGTTAGAAATGTGACCCTAAATGGGCAAAAGCCCAGCTTGGTGTGGCAGAGCTTGGCTGGGGGCAGTTGGAGCAGACCCAGCCTAAGTGAGTGAGGCTGAAGGTGACTTGTAAAGAAGGTGCCCTCTTGCTTTGCTAATGTTCTTGTTCTGCTCTAATTAGTTGCTGTAGCCAAATTGGTAGGTGTGATTAGCTGGCTGAATTTCGGAAGACATAGCATGATCCTAATGTGCCTGTTTTGAGCAGCTCAGAGTTATCCAGTAGACTGCAGAATTAGGAAGATTTGTTGAGATGAAGGGAAATTTGTTCCTGACGGACAGGGATTCTGGTTGCTCTGGCTGCATCAGTGTTAAAGAAGCCAAAGCCTGAGAATTTGTCCTTTTAGGAGCTTCCCTCTTGCACCCATTTCCCTTGACATTTTGCAGCATATATGAAGGTGCAGGCGAGAATCTTCCTGGAAGTCAATGCCCGAAGAGCTGGGTGATGTTTCACAGGGGTGACCAAAGCAGGAGCCCCTCACCTCTGCTAGGTGCAGGGGGAAGCCTGTGGTCACGCAGTGGGGGAAGGTACATCACGTTGCTGAAGGGGTAGCAGCCTGCTTTTGGACAAGGTGCCTCAGGGAAAATGTCAGACCCTTGATTTAAAACTAGTTCAGGCCCAGGACACAAACTGCAGGGCAAGGTCAGGCATTTCCTTGCATCCGTGGGCATGCAGAGGAGTAGGGAGCTCTGTGGGGTCTGTAAAACCCGTGTCAGACAAACCCACCATGGATCACCACGTCAAACCCCCTCTTGGCAGTACAGACCCAGGAAAGAGAAGAGAGCTCCTCTTTCTCAGCCACTGTCCGATGGCCAGCCCTGTCACAACAGGGTGGCAACAGTTCACTGCTTTACTCCTCCCCACAAAGAAATTGTAAGTCACAGACATCTTTGCCAGCCCTGAGCCTCATATCCTCCTTCCGTGGCAAAGACAGAGCCCGGCTGTACCAGCCCAGCCAAGATGGAGCCACCTTTTAGCATCTCCGAGAGGGGCTCCTGCTTGGGCTGCCATCCTGGCACAGAGGGCCTGGTTGCAAGGAGTTATTTCGATGGCCAAATTCTAACAAACCCACTCAGAGCTTTCTAGAAAAGGAAGACTTGTTTTCTAGACCCCCTGTTGCCTTGTGTTTCACACAAAATCAGGACAAAACCTATCAGTTTTCACAGATGTTAATGGACTGTCAGAGGTACAGGCTGAGCGCCAGCCAGGTCCCAGTCGTTACTGATCAGAGCGCAGCTGCTCTGCTTTTACAGTTAATGGAAGGATTTAAGTATTTTTTCAGACAGGATGGGACCAGAGCCACAGTGCCACTAGCAATGTCTTTGTTGTAAAGACCCCTGCACAAGACCTTCATCAGAGGAGCTCATCGGACCTCATAAACTTTTTCCATAATCTTCCTCCTTCCAAGAGGATGATGTTAGCGGTATTTCAGAGAGGGAAGAGAAACTGAGGCAGAAGAGTTCTGACTTGTTCAGAACTGCAGAAGAAATGACAGCGCTGCTGGAAATAAAACACACAAATTTGTTTCCAGCCTCTGACACTGAGCACAAGTTCTCAGCACTGAACCAATTCTACGCGTGGCCAGGGAATGGGACACTGGGGAAGCTGGAGGTGAGGGGCTGTGCATGTGGGCTGGTGTGGCAACCATGCCTCAATGAAAGGACCTGTCAACCCAGGGCTGATGCTGCATCTTTTTATTTTATTTTTATTTTGCTTCACTAAGCAAATGCAGAGCGAGTGATAGAAGGAGGGAAAGGTGGTTTGAAAAATCAAAACAAAACAAACTGGGAGGGTAGAGGCTGGAGTATAATGGGAAAGTGAGCTGCTAACAAGAAAGAAGTTCATAGATGCCAAGCCCGCACTAATTCTTAATAAAATACAATACTGAAAATAGGATCTGAGAGTCTCCAAAATACAATATCTTAAGGGATCGGCAATAATACAAAATAAGGTTCATTATGTACAAACGAGTTCTGCTCTTGGTCTCTGTACAATGGTGGGAGTGGGAGGCACGGGGACATGCTCGGTGGAAGTGCTGGGGTGGAGGAGGGCGTGCTTGGGCCCGGCAGTGGTTCTTTGTGCTGGGGTGGAGGTGGAGGATGGGCAGTGCAGTGGTATCTGGTGACCAGCAGGTCCTGTGGGAACCTTGAGAAGAGCAGAGCTATGCTGAAGGCCTTCCTCTTCCTCACCCCACTGGCTACGCATGTATGGTTGCAGCTAGCTGTGTCCAAATTTTTCCTAAATGGCTTCAGAGGGCAAAACCAGTTGTCAAAAGGGAGAAAAGAGGGATGTGAGGGCCCTTCCCTCACTTCTCCCAGTCCTTGAGCAAAAGCCATCCCATCCTTCCTCTCTGGAGAGCCCTCTCCACTCCCAGCCTGGGGGAAGAGGAGAGGCTGGGGCAGTGCAGAGTGAGTCCAGGGTGCTTGGAGAGGAACAAGCCAAGGAGGAGCCTGCTCTGAGACCTGGCAGAGCACACGGAATCCCGTGTACAAACACAGGGCAACCGGCCACATCCCAGATCTCTGACACTCATGTGTCCCCCAGATTCTCCTTCCATCAAATGGCAGCTGAGGGAACGGAGTGAGGAGATGCCTGAGCCTTTCAGCAGGACTTTTGCTGAGGAGGAACAAGGGTCAGAAATGGGTGTCTGGGTGCTAAAGAGGATGGCGTTGGCTTGAGATGAGGTCATTTCAGCACCAAACTTGGCAAGTCTGGCCTGAAGGGTGGTAGGGCAAGAGTTTGCTACCTTTGGTGCCAGCACTTAGAAGGAAGAGGTCTAAAACAGTCTTTGGTGACCCTGGCCAATTCCAACATGCCAGCTCTTTCCTGACAGACGTACCTGTCACCAGAGATGCCAGTATGTCCTCAGTGGCTTTCACAACACTGCTGTGCCCAGGGAGGATGTGAGGGGAACGATGGCTACCTGACAGGCCTCCGATGGGCTGCACAGCTCTCTTTGATGGTTCCTAGAAAGACCCCATTTGGCATGAAGCAGAATTGAGGATGGAGAGCTGGGAGGGGGATCAGGTTACGGGAGTGGGTTTCTCCCACCCACCTCCAAGCAGGAGGTCTGCAGAGTGGAAAGGGAGAAGATCACTGCCCTGGTTAGCACTGCACTGTGGGGCCCAAGCTGGGAACAGAAAGGGAAATACCACCCCTGCCAAAGCAAGGGTGCTGAGGGTGGGGATAAGTGGGTTGTTGGGGAAAATTGTTCTCTATTTCAGAGCTCTGGTTGCCCAGAAGCTGCTGGCTAATTTTTACGGTGGTTTATCTGTCTGGGATCTGTCCCCCTGACTCCGTTTGTGTGCAGATCTTTGCAGATAGTTGGCATGGAAGTTATGTAGGCATGTCCATCAAGAGAAAACTAGAGCAAGGGAGAACTAGGTTTTCTCTCAACAGAAGCAGAAGTATACTAACACAGATGGAGGGGAAGAAATGAGCTCAAACTCTCCAGAGCCATCTCTCCAGCACCAGCATCACCCACTCCTAAGTCCCCCAGGCAGGAAAGTAAATCCAGCACTCTCTCTCCGTCAGGTGCATCTGATGTAGCCAAGGGGTACATGCCTGGGGACAGCCCCCTGAAGGGGGAGTCTGAAGGCTTTGTGGAGTGAGCTGAATAGTTTGGGGGCTTCCCCTGATCTCCCTCCACTCCAAGGTGAGCCCACATCCATAGGGTAGTGCTCATTTAAGCAGGAGGTAAGGCCAGGAGAAGACGACGTCTCAGGGCTTTGCCAGACATTTATTGCTGGTTCTGGCAGTCCTGCCACTCCCTTCAGAGAGCTCAGTACTAACGGGGGTGGGGTGGGCATGGGGAAGGGGAGGAGCTGAACCCAAGGCCAGTTTAGGAGTGTCTGAATGCAGCGTCCTCTCCTGCCAAGTCCCCTCAGTTGCTCGGTGAGGAGGGAATCCTGCAATCAGACAGATGAGGCCCTGAGGTCCAGCAGCTGCTACAAGTATTCAGCTGTCTCACTGGAGCTTGTCTCCCTGAGGAAAAGAAAAGACAAGGCATCAGTCAAGGTTCATTGCAGCCTCCTATGCAAATTCACCTCTCTGTGTGCCCAGCTGGTTTGCTCTGACCTGGATGGAGCCCTTCCCCAGGGCACTGAATGGCCAGCAAGCCTGGGACCACCTGACTCACCCAGTCCTCCTCAGCTCTGTGTCAGTGAGACAGAGCTTTATGGAGTCCCAAACTTTTGCTCGAGGAAATAAACTTGGTCTTTTGTTCCCTGTCAGCATTGACCTCCACCAGCCGCTGTTCTTGAGCTAATTTGCCTGTCCCAGGCACATCACTGTCCTTAGCTTGCAGCAGAGGGGATGTGCCTGTTGCTCACTCCCAGACACCATGCTGTCTTTTGGGGCTCCGAGGGTGGCCCCCATCTGCTTACCTCTCATGGAATTGCTCTTTGAGGTCGGTGAGAGTTGGGTCAGTTTGGTTCTGGTCAGGACCCTCCAGCTGAGACTTGCTCAGATATTTGGCCGTCTCATGTGTCCTGGCCAGATGAGGCCTTCCCTCCTCAGACTGCCCTTTTTCGGCCTCCCACCCCTCAGGATGGTCCATGGTTAGGAAGGAGCTATAGCTCTCTTCTAAGGAGCCAGCACCCTCATCATAGAAAAGGAGGCTCCGTGACTGAACTGGAAAAAAGGAGAGCATTGGTTAACAATGAGGACAAGGTCTCCTGCAGTGGGTGTGGGCCATGGTGATGGTTTCAGCATGTGCTCACCCAGCTATGGCTATGTCCACGTGTAACAGCCTGCTCTGCAGGATACCCACCTCCCCCCAGCTCCAGGATGAAGACAATCAGTCCGCTCTGGGACTTTTCCCTCATGTTCCTTCCTTTGACACTTGTCATGTTTTGGGACAATGGTTAGCAGAGAACAACGACAGGCCCAAACAAGGTGCTTTTATCAGAGTCTGTACCACTGAGAGGCCAGGAATCTGCCCTCGCCAGAGCCCCACCATATGGGGTAGGCACTGAGGGAAGTGTTGTGAGAAGAGCTGGAAATGGTTTGACAGGGTGAAATGGAGGAACCACGTTAGACTCACTCTTACTAGTTGTGTAAATATCTGGTGCTGGTGTTGCTTTCACTGTCTGTGATGCTGAAGAGAACTCAGGGAGACAGGGCATCAGGGATCCCAGGATCAGAACGAAGCAGAGTGCCAGCACCTAGGGAGGACACCAGCACAGAGTTAGCATCACTAACCATGAGGAAGCACTCCCCCTGCAGCACACAAACGCGAGGCTGCATGAGAACATGTGGTCAGGCTGACAACTGGGTTGCTGTGATCACACAGGAAGGGGAAAGGGCTTGTTCTGCTAATGTCTGCTGCAAATCTAAAAAAGGAAGTCAGAAGCATCCTCGTGTTGCTTTATTTGAAGTATTTCTGGTTGAATGGTGAGAACTTGCCTGTCCAGTTGATGAGAGATATGGAAGACGTAGCTGGGGAACAAGTTGAGAAAGAGGGAAACTCAACAGAAGGGACGAACTTTGACTTGACCAAAGGGAACCTGACCATTGTCTCAGTAGGAGCTGCAGTGGGCTGTAAGAAAACAAGCTCACCCAGAGAAATGTGAGAGATAGCACAGCACATAGCAAAGTGAAGTTACTGTCCATGCAGGGACAGAAAAGACAGCAAAACTGCAGCCACCTAACACCTGATAGCAAGGGCAGAGAGTCCAAGGAAAGGGTTACATTTATGGTTGACATGCACATATGCAGGACCATGTGTCCATGCCTTCTGCTGTCAGGCAGACCAGTCAGAGCTACTGGGCAGTGGTATAAGGAAAGAGGCAGCTGAAAGCTCCCTGGAAATCCCCCTCTGGTAGATCTGCACCTGTCTGTAAATTCTGCCGTAACAGTAAAGCTTCAGAGTGAAATGCCAGAGCTGATGGTAAGGGTCTTTATAGTGTTTAGGGAACTACCGGTACAGAGCAAGAGGGCACACATGGGAAATGATACAAAGCCAAATGCTTATTACCTGAATACCCATGTGCCACGGGTGGTATATAACTAGCTGCTGCCAGCTTAGCGCTCAGGCTGAGCACGTCAAAGAGGCAATGCATCTGTTGGTGATTTCTACTACCTTGTGTAAACTAGCTAAGTTGTGTTGTGGGGACACCTGGGGGGACAACCAGCAATTGCCTGACTGCTTTTCAGAATAACCACCTATTTTGGAATAGCCATGCCAAAGTAGTGCACAGAAGCTGGTACATCAAGGTAATTTTGACCACCAGTGGATTCCAGGAGATGTGGAAGCTAAAATAATAGCACAGGTATACTATGCTATGTAAAGACTCTTCATGTCTGGTTTTAAAGTAAGGAAATTATATGTGGGCAGCATAGAGGCACATAAGGCATTTAGAACTCTTATTTCACAAAAATGGGGGAAAATTAAATTCTGAATAGATGTTGCTTGGAATTATCACAGCCAAACACACAACTTCCAGAAAGGGGAGCCAGCCCTGTGAAACCTGTTCTTCTCTTCTGAAATAAAATGGCTTTATGGGCTGGGAAAGAGCAGTATACTTAATATCTTGCTTTAACATGGCTTTCAACTGGGGCTTTGGAAACCAGCATTGTTTTTACGCTCTTTTGTTTCAGGTTAACTCTGATTGATGCTTGATTTGGCTCCAGTTCAAGCTCTATAACACTTCATAACAATAACTCTTGGTTTGGCTCTGAGTACCATTTATCTCACACCTTTTGATCATCTCACCATTTTGACCTCTTGAAAAGCAAGTGAAACTAAGCTAGAGGAAACTACTGCAAAACCAGTTGGAAAGGTGGAGACAAAATTAATCAAAAAAAAAAATGTCCTGAGAGTGTACTTATCAAATGGTTCACTGTCAAACTGGGAGGAAGTAGCAGATGGAGTAGCAGAGAGATCTGTTATGGCTCTGGCAAGATTCAACATTTTTAAGCTTGACTTGGATGATGGACTGTATCAAATGTGCAGATGGGAGAGACTACAAGCAGACTGGCTTTTGGTCAGGATTCAAATTCAGAATGATCTTGACCATGAGGAGAAGTGGTCCAAGAGAACAATGGGCACATCCATTCAGACAAACTCCAGGACCTGCTGAGACCTGTGAGGTAGCAGGGCTGATTAACAGAGGAAACATGTCAGCGACTACATGGCCAGGCAGCTATTCTGGGGGTTAAAATGGAGCACCAGGTGGGCACAAGTCAGTGTCACTTTGCAAAGGGCAAATCTCAGCCCAGGCAATATGAACAGACTTGCTGGCTGGCTGGCTCTGCACTGGCCTTCAGGTGGAACACTGTGTCCAGCTTTGGGCCCTGTACTTCCAAAAAGATTCAGGGCATTCAGAGAAAGTCTGGATGAGAGCTCTGGGAACAAGCTGTGATTCAGTAACTCAGTTTACAATGGAAGACTGAAGAAATTGTGGTGATTTAGCAGAGCAGACTGAAGGGAGTAGCTCAAAACCCATAGTTTTCAAATATGTAAAATGCAGCTGCACAATGGGAGGGTAAACTGATCTTGCTTACAGTGGGCAGAAGCTGTTATAGGCTTAAGCTGTTGCAAGAAGATTGAGATAGCAAGAAAGCATTATCTGCGAAAGATAACAAATCACTGGAATGGTTTGCCTGAGGAGGCTGAGGGCTGCTCATCACTGGAAGCCTCAAGAACTGGCTGGTCAAATATCCAGCAGGAATGACACAGGGCTAAAAAAGGAGGGTATTCTGCTCCACTCCCATGCTTCAAGGCATGATGATTCTACATATCTGTCGTGATAAAGAGTGCTGTATTTGAAAAGGGAAAACAGGAACTCAAGAGGCCTATGAGAGGAGCTGGCCAAAGATAGAAAAGCAAATTACAAATTCTTGAAATGCTTCAAAGCTAGGAAGCCTGAGAGAGTTGGTGTGTGGGCTGGGATGCCGTGAAACGAAGGGAGCAGCAAGGAGAGATAAGACATTGTTGGGAAGCTAAATTAGGCATTTTATCAGCCTGTAGCACAGGGGATGTCCGGAAGCCACCTCTTCTGGACTTTCTCATTCCAGGTAGCAGGGATGAAGAATTGCTGGAGCCAAGGGTGCTGCATTAAGGAGCAATGAGTCACTGGGCCCAGCTGGGTCACACCCGAAAATGTGGAAAGAATTTGGGAATGAAGCCACAGAGCAGCCAACAGAAAAGACAGCCCATCGTCTGACATGGGGGCAGCAAAGAGTAGCAAAAGTTTGAGCAGATTTTGAAAGGAAAAAGTGCTGGAAATTATGGAGCAGGGGCTCTGGAACCAAGGAAACTGACTGAGAGCGAAAAACAACCCCTCAGGACACTGAGGATGATGAGAAAGTGGGGCAAGCACCTCACCATCTGCTTGTATTTCATGCCTGTTAACAGTACAAAAGTGATAACTAGATATAGATAACTAACTCTGACAAATTTGTCACAAGCAGCTACTATGATAATCCTGCAAAGACATCACAGGGTTGAAGGTTATATTTTTACCATGGATCAGAAACTTCCCTCCCGGCAAAAAATGAGGTGAAGAATAAGCAATTGACTCTATTTATGGCCACACACTGGCATGTCCCAAAAATCCACAGTGAAGCCAATATTGTTTAACCATGATCCTCCACTATGAGAAATGAGAGGCAAACAGGGATTACCAAAACCAACAGACAACCCCGAGTCATTTTGGTTAGTCAAAAGGGCAAATGAAAAGGATTTCAGCTCGATTTAACAAAGCTTGATGTGCAGGCATAGGAAGAACAGATGCCATTTCTTGCTGATCAACACAAGGTAATGCCCACTGGGAGGAATATTTGGCCTCTTCATCCACCCTGCTGAGTTAAACATTAAGCATTACCAACCTTGCAAACGAAAACTCTGCCTGTTACAATGGAAGCTCACCCAAGATTTTTGCTGAATGGCTGATAGCTAACAAAAAGCAGATAAAGTGCTGTTTTGCCCAAGGAACAAAACAGTGGAAATGCAGGAATTATTCTAATGCTGTTGCACAAACAACTGACACTACTGATGTCTGTGTGATGCAGGGCCTGGTTCTGGTGACTCTAACACAAAAGGAGAGAGCAGATGTAACTGGCAACAGATCTGGGCATCAGGGAAGGGGGCAGAGACAAGCAATCGACAAAGCTGTCTGGGGAAGCATGGCCAATAAGGAAGACTGAAATGAAGCTTATACCATTAGACAGGTCCCGGTCTGCGTAGAAGCCATTTTGTAAGGTCTGGAGACTTTCCCAGCTACCAGAGCCTGCAGCTTCTGTAACTGCTGGAGCAGAGTCCTGGAATAGGAAACAACCCAAATCAAAACTTGATAAGGAGGTAGCAGCTGATAAGTGATGCAAGAATACCACTATCCCCTTCATATTTTACCCTGATTTTTCCTTCTTGTGAAAACAAGTATCTCCCCCTTGATATATCTTGCCCAAGCTCTCCGACCAAACAGGCTTGGGAAGCAAGAAACAAAAAATGCCGATATATTGAGACATGTGCAGGAACTGTGGGAAGAATGTCCCAGGGTGCTGCTACATTGAGGTAACACCCTCCATCTCCTCACCAGTAGATCTGCCACAATCTTCAAGGCAACTACCCACCATTATGAATGCCCCACTCATTTAGGACTCCTGGGTGTCTCAAAGCCTAACTAGTCATCTCCCAAAGCAATGGAGATGCAGGCTACCATGAAAGCCAAGCTCTGGGATGGAGGCTGAACTTTGTAGTCAGGTCAGACCTTGAGCACAGGCCCGCCTGCTGCCACTTCACTCAATAGACATGCACTCTGCCGCCCAACCTGTGCTCTGAACCATATGGTGGAGACAAAATTAAAAACCAGTTTTGATCCCCTCCAGCTTCTTCAGTCTTGGCAAGCTCTGCAGAGAGATGTGGGCAAAGCCAAATCTTGAGTTTAACAATTAATTCATTCTCTGGCTGCCCCATCTGGAACATGTGCTAAGGTCTTTCTGCCCCATTTAACTGAACATGGGCATCGGCACACATAAACACAAAACAGTGGAAGGTGTGTTACTAAGACACCAAACCTTTCACTGGGCTGGTGAAGAAATCTGGGATGAAGGAGACTACAGAGCACACAGTTCCCAAGGGCTGCAAATTACTGAAATGCAGGCTACTGCGTGTTTCCCCCTGGGAGCACTGACTGTTTTACACAAATATGTTTGAGCTTTCATAAAATGCCAGGTCCTGGAGCCAGGAGATTGCAGGAGAATCCCAGCTTTATCTCTTTCCAAATCCTTTTCTGCTCTTTGTATATGTGGAGAGAAGCACAGAGTGTCCCACTGGCAGTGCTCAAAAACCAAACCCAATTAGAAAGAACATAATGTGTATTTTGAAAAAAAAAAATAAATCTCCTGGCTCTTAGGCCAATCTTTTGATTTTGCAGGGTGGGGCTCATGCCTTTTCAGCAGCAGGGCTGCCCGCGCTCCCAGAAATGCTGGGCGGCAGGCAGGCTGTGCCCCGTGGATGAGAGCAGCTGGGCAGCCATGTCCCCGGCAGATGGGAGGCTCCGGTCGCTCACACACCTCAGCCAGATCATGCCTGACAGCCCCCATGCTGGCACCCGTGGCTGGACTGGAAGCTGGGGCCACAGCTCTCCTGCCATGGATGGCAGGAGGGGTGAGTGGTGGGACTGGCTCTCTGGTTCTCCCCGTCAGTTCGAGCTGGGGGTGACAGAAGCGGGGCTATAGAAGTGAGTGTCCCCCTGACCAGCCCTGCAGCTGACCCTGCCCTTGCTCACACCTGCTGCACCCAGTAAGAAGGAGCAGAGCTGGGTCCTCCTCCAGCTGTCCATCCCCACTGCAGGGTGGGAGTCTTCGTTATTTGGGAAGTAAATTCCCCTGGTGATCAGATGGCCAGCTCTGTATATTAGGAGCACAAGTGCTCACCAGATTCCTGGGTGAGGGAGCCAGGGGCTTGCTCTGGGGCTGCAGGAGCAGCTTGTTCCTTCCAGGTGAGCAGCAGCAGGAGATGGGAGGGAGATTCTCCGGGCTTGCTTTGCAAGGGGAATAGGCAGGGCAGGGGCTGGGGTAACACATGCACAGGGAGTTGCCCTGGATTTGGTGGGAGCTGGGATCTCCACCTTTATTACAGGAATGGGCTTTCCCTGTATTCACGTCTGTTCAGCTCTTTCTCGTGAGAAACCTGAAGTAGGTACATTATGCCCAGGGCCCTGTATTCCTCCAGAGAGCCCAAGAGCAGAAACAGTGGTTCTGAGAGACTGGTGTGAGGGGCCTCCCTCGATGCATCTGCCCTGGAGACAGCCAGAGGCCTGGAGAGCAATGGGGAGGGCAGCATGAGCCCAAAGGGCTGCAGGGAGAAGGAGGAAGAGATGTGAGAAACATGCCTTCCCTCCCTCCCCTTGCTGTGGCGCGGCCCGGCCGTCCCAACACAAACATTCCAGGCTCGCTAACCAAACCCAGCTGCTTCGCTGCTGCCACGGGCCGAAAACCAGGGCCTGGCCAAGCAGCGCTGTCCCGCCAGGAGCTGGGGGAGCCTGCCTTTCTCTTCTCGCCCCAGTGCTCCCCTGGCTTCCCTTCCTGTCCACCCCACCCTACCCACAGAGGGTCAGCTCTAGCCCCTCTCACCTGTTTGCGTTTTCTAAGGTCTCCACTTTTTTCCAGAGTTCATTGTTTTCTGTTGTGTATGTCTCAACCCTGTGGGAATAAAACCCATAGCCCGTTAGTTATAAGGGCCGGACAGATAAAGAAAATGTAATCCTTGTTTTTCGCGGGGTGTGGAGGCTCACTGGCCTCATCCATCACCTGGAGCCAGATGTTCCTGGCCCATCTGGTTGCAGGCAGCCCCGACAGACCAGGAACCAAGGATGAGGTTGCAGGTGGACAGTTAGGTGTGACAGTTCCCCGTTCAGGCTTTCCCGAGGGCTGGGAGAGCCAGTAGCATCCACTTACAGGCAGGTCAAAGTTATGTAGACATTTCCATCACTTCCAAACCCCCCTAAGGAGCGTGGAAAAGGAACAGGGGGACAAATTCAAACCTCTCCCACCCGGATTAAGAAACCCGCCTGGCTGAAAACCAAACAGTTCTGTGCAAACGCTGGGCCAGCTCCGAGTGCGGGCACTTGAGGGCAGCAGAGAACCTACAGGCTCCTTCCCACTGCCTCGGCAGGGAAAGCGGTTAGGCTGCAGATGGGACGAGGGAAGGGGAATGTCTCCAGGCCCGGAGGAAGGCAGGCCAGGGACACAGCCTGATCCTGCCGGAGGTTTCCAGCACAGCCTCCGAAACCAGGCGTTCCGTGTAAAAACTGGGCTTGCAGCAAAGGTGTCAAACTGAATGGTGAAGGCTCAAGTACAGGTTTTGACAAACCAGCTCTGACAGAAAGCCAAGTTGACCAAAGACTCGTTCCATTAAAAAAATTCACTGAATGCTGCTTTTGGTTCACATTTAAACCTGGCATTGTTTGAAAGCCATCTGTCACAGCAATGCACTAGCGTAACAAACCGCTGAGTACATACAGGCACCAGAGCCACGTCTGGGGAAGAGGCCCCAAGCACAAAAACCCCTGGACCTGCCACTTGAGCGAGGCCAGCCAACTTCCCAGCCCCGGCTTGAAGGATCTGGGTGTCAAGGTGGGACACTAGCTGGAGGTGATGTGCTTGGATACCTGGACACACTCACACACGTCAAGGTGCTGCTTGTGGAAAGGCATGAGAACTCGAAGGTGCCTTGAGTCATCTGTTTTTATTCAGCATTTCTCCACACTTAGAGAAGAAAAACAAATAGCATCAGGAGGAAGAGTCAACTGAAGTTGGGTTTGGGGTTGTTTTTTTCCACTTTGCTGATCTCAGGTGGTGTTAACAACAGGGAAGAAGATGGTATTTAAACAGAAATATGAATTTGCACCTGGATCCCACCATTCTTCCTTGCCTGGGAATGCCCATCAGGAGCTGCTAGTACAGAGGGGATCAAAGGATCAGGCCCTCAGAAGTTATTTTCTACCCTGTCAGTGTCATGTGATGTCACCTTAGGCTTATGCTTGCCATACATGCAGGGTTGCCTCAGGGTTGCAAAGGAAAAAACAAAGTTAATGCAGGAAACGGTGGAAGGGGAGGAAGTCTGAGGAATAACTGTAGTCCAAGCTTTTTCTTGCTATCAAATGCTTCTGTGTCCACCCTCATGGGAGGAGAGGGGAAAAAGCCATGGTCAGTGCCCTCAGAAGGCCTGCTGCTTATGGGACAGACAAAATAGAAGCAACTTCTAGTGGGGAAACATGACTCTTACCCAAAATCCCACCTTGTTGTCAGCCAAAATGGTCTGTGTTCTGCAGGGGACCAGCCAAACTAAGCAGTTGGAAACGCAATGTTTCTAGAGCAATCTTTATCCTGCAAGAGGATTTCTAGGAGGGAGGGGAGTAGGGGCAGGATCCCAAACCAAACTTCTGGGCAGCCAGCCTTGCAAGGAATCGTACTCTTTAAGCAATTCAGAGACAAAAACACTAGAAAGGGGGGCTGTGCATGGACAGGGCTTCTGTTTGAAAAGTATGACTGAGAAGGAGAAACTTACTTTTTCTCTAGACACTCCACGTATTCTTTCTTCTTCCTGCGACTCTCCTGAGCGGAGATCTGTGAGGGGGGCAGCCATTAGAGAGGAGTCAGTATCATAAGCCTCTAGACATTTCTTTGCAGGTCCCTCATCTTGTCTGTTCCCTGCATACACAGCACCCTAAAGATAAATGGGGAAGTCGCCTTCCAGTCTGCTATTCCTACTGGTATCCAGGCCAAAACTGGGAGGGAGGGATGGATGCTGTAGGCATGCAGCCTTCTGTAGGCCACAACCATGAGTCGCACTATGCTTGACCCCCTCACTGCTGAGAGCATCTTTAGAGTTGCTTTGATCTCCTCTGACTCACATGGGTACGTGCTGTGGCCATCTGGGCAGATTCTGCCCCAGACCACCTCTGAGTCACTGGGTGACTAATTCAGGGTCTCACCATTTCTCCCGTGGGATGCTTTCTAATCACAGTCTGAAGTCTCACAGCCTCTGCCTGGCTAATGAGCTCTGTGCATCACCCGTCCTGCACTCACTGCGCAATGGATTGTTTCCCTGCCTCCACAGCAAGGCCTAACCTGGCTGGTTTGTCTGATCTGTGATGCCTTAGCTTGTGGGCGCCATCGCAGGCCACACACTCCCTGGAGCTGGGTTGCAGGCCATACTTCCCAGATATGGCTGCACACACAGGATGCGTGCAGAGGTGCTCCATGGCACCATTTCTGTGGATTGGGAGGCTCGTGCCAGTGTACCAAAGGCAGGATCCCACCTTTTCTGAGCTGCACTGCAGCTGAGGAGGCAAGGCTAACTATAGTACTAGTCAGCTGAGGATGCGCTGGAATTGTGGGAACTGCAGGGTTACATTTTTTGCAGTCACCTTGTTCTTGATTTTCCTCCGGACCCTCTTCAGTGCTTTCTCCTCTGCTTTGGTGAGAGGCAGCTTGGTAGGAATGGGGTAGCCCTCGGCAATCAAGGTGCGTTTCTCCTCTTCAGTCAAGAGCAGCGGGCCAGAGGTCCCTTGTAACTTCTGAAACACACAGAGAGCAGCCGTCAGCGTCAGCAAGGACTTCTATCCCAGAGATACTCCTCAAAGCCTTGAAGAGCAGCTAGGGGCTCAGTACATATGTTCTTTCCTGCTCTCAACCTGATCCTGGGGGCACAGCTCAGCAGTTGCCTTCCTCTTTTACTTGGGAGGGCATCTGCTCCTTCATGGTGAGGCTGGCTACACACTTGCACTGCAGAATCCCACCAAATAACTTTTGGGCGATAGTTAAAATACAGTCTGGTTATGGGGATTCTTAGTTATTCTTTTCTCTTCCATTAACCTCTTCAGAAAGTCCTCCAGTGCATAGGGCACTTCCCAAAGTACAGGGTGAAAGACAGCACTTGCTAAAACAAGGTAGCTGCTGGTAGGCATCGTGTAAGACTCATTGCACCCTTCCTCACTCCTGTGAGCACCGTCCTGTCCCCACATCCCTGTGCTAAGACATTACATTGCCTTGCCAGAGCATTTCAGCTTGGAGACCTAAACAAGGGCAGGATTCTCCAGGTGAGCCTTGGGAAGTCTCCAATCCCCTCTGAGCACCAAGGAGCCCTGTGTCCCAGTGATTTCCTGCTGCCTCCTTACGTGTGGTGCTGTGAGGAGAGGTGAGGAGGAGATGGCAGTAGAAGAACGAGCAGCAGGTCGGGCTGGGCTGGAGGGAGGCAGGGAGCGGGGACTCTGAGATCCATCGCTGTCACTGCCATGGCTGCTGGGTGGAGTTGGAGGCATCTGCACCAGGTCATCTACTGAGAGATAAGAAAATCAAGTCAATGGCTGCCATGTCAGCCTTTTGGTACAGGCATAGGGCCCCGAGTAGCAACAGGAAAAGGCACTGCCTAACAGGACTGAAAGGAGAGGGTGATGAGTCTTACAAGACAGGGTGGGTCTGAGAACAAGGCTGGACTGAGGTGAGGCTGACCTCAAATGTGCTAAACTAGGAACTGCAGGAGTCAGGGAGCTGGCAGGGACTTTGCCAAGACACTGAAGGTATTTACAAAGCAATAAGGTACCCAGGTGTCAACCAAAACGGAGTACAAAGCCTGTGATGTTTTGCTCCATAGCCTGTTCACAAGTGCAGGAACCTCTCTAAGAGAAGAGCTCTTCCAAAAGCACCGCAGGGCTCACACACTTGCCAGCACACTTGATCCAAAGGGCCTCCGGTCACCCAGTTGGTTTCCAAGCACTTGAAAACTGCCCCCACTTTGTACTGGAGAGCCCTGGGGGCCTTAATGGAGGTGGGAATATGCCTAAGGAATGTCTCTGCGGCAGTGGGAGTTCCTATAGTGCTTCCATTTGTGCATCGGCAGATTTTCAGATGCTTGGGTTTCTTTCAAATTAAACTGGATCCTGAATTTCCTGACTTTCAGATAGTTGTTTTTGGATAACACTGCAGTCTCTCTCAGGATTTTAAAGGCACTCTTGCCTATTTCCAACTCTGAAGTAGCCTGTTTTGCCTGGGAGTCCCTGTCTGAACAATTCTGATCAGCGGCTGCTGGTCCAGACACTGATCTAGGTTGGAACAGTGCAGTGCTCACTCTTTCACTGGTCTATGCCCCAGTGCTACCTTGTATACATAGTTCTGCTCTCAGGTGTTGTCTTTCCTTCCTGTAATGATCTATATCTGAGTAATATAGAGAGATTTAAGTCAATCAGCAAGTTCTATCTTCTTACCTGCAGGTACACTTAGAAACTGATTCACCTCTTTGGGTTCAGCTTTGATCACAGGCGCTGGAGTAATTTCTATGGGAGTCTAGAAGAGAAGCAGAAAGAGCTCTTGGGTGCTACCAACTTCCCAACCCAGAGGATTCCCACCAGTTCTGTTCATAGCCACTTCTCCCCGGCTCTCTGTCCTGCCCCATCTCACAGCTCTGCCCCAAAGCAGTCTCTCATTACACATAACAGAAACCAAGAGTCCAAACATAAACCCCTGAGATCTGTGTCAGTGGGCACACAGAGAGCAAACACACGTTTGCAGAGGAAGAGGCAGTGGTGGATGGATACCCTGCCAAGCTGTTTACCCAGTACCTCCAAAAGGGAGATGACTTTTATCCTTGTCAATTCTTCCCTCGCTAGACCCAGACAGTGCAATTTAAACCAACCCATGTATTACCATGGGAAGTCGTCTTTGATCTGCCTTCATTAAAAATGGGAGTATAGAGATTGCACAGAACCAGAACCAGAACAAAACCCCTGTCCTGCTCACATGATTTGTACCAGGGCCACCGGGCAGCTGTTTCCAATCGGAGGGGACTGAGAGTTAAATAAAGAGTAGATTTATTACCATCTGGGCTGTGCTGCCCCCCAGCTCCCCTGGCTCGCCAGCCACCAGCCCACCAAAGGCTGGGGGAGTTTTTACACTAAACAGACACATTGCAAACTCCTCCAGACTGTAAACACAGCTGAGAGAGCACCATGGTATGGCTGCTGAGCACACACAGCAGAGCTTTGAGGGCACAGCAAGTTCAAGCTGTGTAAATAATGGAGGAAGTTTGTGCACAGTTTTGGCTGGAAGTACCCATTTGTTTTGGATGGTTGTTTAAATGGGAAGATGCTCAGCATGAGTGAAAAAAGGAAGTGAACCCCAGAGATGCTCTACTGTTATCTACTGAGCTGCTACAAGATAGCCAAGGTCTATGTGAGACTGATCAGACCTTCCCATCCAACACAGCTGGACTCAAGGCCCTGCCAAACTGAGCCTTCAACTTGTACCCATGTACCAGTGGCAAAAGTGAGCCTCCTTCAGACAAACAGACTTCTTAAGAACTTAGAGATGACCAAAAGACGTGGCCCCTTATTCTTCCTGCTGCTTCACAGGAAAAAGCAAGCAGGACCTGCAGTGGGACCTCCATTTTCAGTGAGCAGCTGAGAAAAGTGAGAGGCCATATGATAAGACCAAGGCCATGAAAAAGACAGTGGCAGAGCAGGAGTCTATACTTGGGAACAGTGGGGTCACTGGCATCACATTAATTGATAGTGTTCTCTGAAAAATGAAAATAAGCCAAGAGTGGCTACAGAAATACTGGCAGATCGGAGAGGACAGGTCTCCAGCACGTGCAAGCTTAAAAGCCTTTGGCTTTTGTACCAAGGAAACATGCTTGTATTTAACTTACATTGGGACTGTTATATTGAAATTTTATTTCACTGAGATTGTAAGTGCTGGAGAAAACCCTCTTTCCACCATTTTCTCTGGAAGGATCAGCTGTCTTGTAGCTTCACTGCAGGAATCAAGAACACATCAGGAGTGCTGCTCCTCTGACTGCCATTTCAAGAGGAGAATGACAAGTAATGCAGTATCTGGGCTTTGTATCACCTTCTCCTGTCTGTCCAGTGGTTAAATCACCTAGCACGACCCTGCAGTCACGTGGCTGGGTCCACATCACCAGGGGTGCTGCTGTGTGGGAGCCCAGGTTCCCCATGGATCTTAGATGGGCTCACCTCCTCGGGGACTGGTAGTCTCTGCAGAGGGTTGAGGTTCAGCACTGGTATGGAGCTGGCAGCTAGCTGGGACTCAGGCAGGTCTAGAGCCAGGTTCTGTTCCTGTTTCACCATGATGGAGCAGAGCTTGGGTCCCAGCGACCACACTCCATTCTCCAGCTCTGAAACATGCACAACGTGAGAGTCAAACTCAAGCAAGAACAGGACAAGGAAAAAAAAAAAAAAAGCCATGCAGACAGCTTCCCCCCATCTGGGGAGGCTGCCTTTCCAAGTTTAGCACTGTCACCACACAAACATGTGCAGGCCCACAACACAAGAGTACTAAAGGGAATAAACCCCCAGCGTGCGGGGAGGAGACAGGACAGAGCTAGAGGGATTGTGTCTCTGCTCCGCTCTGACTGTGCAGCCCAAGTGCTGGAGGACAGCTGCAGGGTGTCTTCCCCCAGTGATGTCTCAGTCTCATCCTCTGGAGCTTATTTATATTTAGAGCTCAGTGAGAGGTGGATGCTGGGCTCTTGCTCCTTAGGCAGCATGGCCAGCATCACAGAACTGCCAGGTGTGTAACCAAGAATAGCACTATCTCTGTGCTAGAGAGCTGGAGAGAGGGCAAGCACGACGACAGTGAAAGGCTGACAGTGCTGCCTCGGCCTCCCAAGCAGAGGAAGCCTTGTTGCATGACAGGATAGGAGGAAGGTCCATTTCTGTGGAAGAAAGTCCGATGTGGCACCTGCTTGCGAGGCTGCTCCCAAGGCTGCTCCCCTCAGCCTGACCCGTGAGGCTCCTTCCTCCACACCGCGCAGCTCAGGGGGTCTGCTGCCTACAGTTGTGCCCTGCTGCCATTGCTGGCAGGGAGAGAAGAAGCAGCGAGGGAAAGGAAGTGTCTGAAAATAACTTAATGGAGCTGTGTAGGGATGCTCCCCTCACCCTCTGCCTGCTCTGTCCCGTGCACGTCTCTGGTGTGAGCCTGGCTTGTCACTGGAAGTAGAGATCCCAGGAGATGGGATTCAGGCAGTGGTGGGTAAGCTGCAGCTCAGACAGGAAAAAAAATCTTCTAGACAGGAGAGTTGCCTGGGCTCTGCTCTAAAGTTTTGGTCCCCTCATTGCTCTTCAAACATTTCAGCTTGCCAAAAAGCTACTCCTAGCTGGCCTGGAGCCTGCATCCTCCTCCCTAATCCTCATCCCTTCTCTTCCCCTTTTTATCTGACAACCAGAAATGCATTTGGCTTGACACAGGACAGACTATTGCTAAGTTTGTTACCAGATAGTGCTCCAGTTGGCTCAACATGAGGCCACAGTCGGGCTCACTCCCTGACCCCTCTGCACTGCTCTCTGCATACAGCACTCACAGACCCAGGGATGTTGCCCGGGTCTCAGTCTAGAAGATATCCTGGTAAGGGGAGAGGGGAAGAAAGGCCCTTCTCAGCTCCGGAAAAGCCTGCACAGAGAAGAATACAAGCAACCAGCTGTTTGTGTGGGAGTTGCCATCTGGGCTAAACTTAAAGGTAACTTACCATCTTTGCCCAACTCACTCTCTGTTGCCCTCAGGAGAGGACAGGGCAGGATCCTGCCTCTGGCTTTGCTTGGACACAGTGGTGTTAAAGCCTGGGCAAGAATTTTATCAGTTAACACAGGGTCGCCTTACCAGCGGAATATGTTGTCTTCCTGTCTTTGGTCTAGAACCTCTTATTTTGCTGCCTGTATAGGTCTCTGTAGCAGAGGCTCACTCTTTACAGCTCCCTGTGTGACTGGACACCTTCAAGCAGAGACACGAGTTCCTGTGGCTGCTCAGTGTGTGCATATCAGCAGTGCGCACCGCTCGCAGTGCTGCTGCATCACTTCCTAGAGCTTCCCACAGCCGCACGGGGCCAGTGTCCTCAGCAGCCTCTCAGGCAGGGCTACGCTGCACTGCTGTGATAATAGCGAGGCTGCCGAGCAGACACAGACCAAATTGCATTTTCTCTGTCCTGCTAAGAACACCAAGCCCATAGCTGGCAGTGAAGTCCCAGAGACAAGCCCTTTCTGATGGAAGAAGGCAAGGTGTTACACAGGCAGCCACAAGTGTTTGCAGCCAGAAAACTTGGACTGACTTCTTCTGCCTAATCACAGCCTGTCACAGAGATGAGGGACTTTGGGTGGTCTTCCAGTCTATCCCACTGCTCTAGGCAAGGTCAACTAACCCTGTGTCAGTCCTGACAGATGGTTGTCTGACTTGATCATACCCCTCTGCAAAGTGACATAGAGTCCACAGCTGCCCCCATTAAATCTCTTCTACGGTTTCACTATGCCCACTATGGGAAGGTTGTGCCTACTGGCTAATCTGAACTTCCCTTACTGCGATCTTAAGCCTCATCTTCTTCATCCTCTTTTTCTGTTGCAAAGCTCTGCATTTCTCTTTTTCTCAGAGGCGTGGGGCACCCTCTGTCTGGGAGGGCTGCTGCTGAAGCAAGTTACCAGACAAGGGTGAGCAGACCACCAAGGGCTCTCCCCATTCAGACTTGACTCAGCCAAAGAGCAGCCCCCAGTGCTGTCAGCCCAGACAGCCCAAGGAGCAGACACTCAAATGAGTATGCACTGTCCTCCCATTTCCTGTCTGCGTTCTGACCCTGCTCTCTTTCCCACCCTCGGAGATTTATCTGGGGAGCGATTGGGTTACATAGAATCAAAAAACACATAAACCATCAGAGGGTCAACGAGATACTGAGGAGGAAGCATTTTGTGTGGACACATCTATGTTCTGCTGCCTGAGAGGACCTTTCGGAGGTATGGCCAGCCTGTAACCACTGCAGATTTCACTGTATCTTGGTGGGTGAGGCATGCCAGGAAGCTCATCCTCAGCTCTAGATACTCTGTACGCAATGGGAAGAAGTACAGCTGAAAGAAATCCATAGCTGCCCTGGTTTGAGGAGGAGAGGCAAAGAGCAGTGAGGAAGCAGGACCTGTACTGGAGTGTGGGCACTAGCCCGAGGCTGGTCCAGCATCCACTGCTCTGCACAACCCTGGCTCTCCCTGCTCCTGGCATCAAATCACACCCCACAGAACTGCGGGCCGGTACTGAGAACCGAAGCAGCCAGTCCATGTGCACAAACCATCTGGAAAGCAGACTCCACTGATAAGCAGGGTCACAATGCACCCAGTGGCTTGCCCCAGCTGACCCGAGTTAGTGGGAACCATGTGGGAAGGGGCAGGATTTGGAAGTGTTTTGGAGATCTGCAGAAAAGCTGGGAGAAACCTGATAAATAGCAAGCCTCAGCCAACTCCAAGCCTAGACGGAGCCCGGGCATTCCTGAGGAGCTCTGCAGACCAAGCAGAGCTTGCTTAATGTTAAAGAAAAGCTATTCCTGGGTAATTAATTTGAAGTGAATGTCTAAAAGGACGGAGACTGGATGAAGCTCTGCCAAAAGGACTGCACAGTGTTGCAAATACTGGACCTGACTCAGGGCTACACTGGAATATGACTCACATCTAATTATGAGCCAAGATAGCCCTGGAAAGATGGGTTGAATTATTCTGCTGCAGGACTGGGTGCATAAATACCCCTATACCTGCCACATTAATACTAGGCCTTACTTCCTATATAGACCTGATCTGTAGTCTCAGAGCACACAAGCGCCACGTCCATCTCAAACTCTCCTGGGTTATGTGCTGTACACCCTGTGCTGGCCTCTGCCCAAGGACCAGTGTCACACCCTGGTCTTGCCTTGAAGACACTGCAGCTGAAGCAGGGGCATGTCCAGGCACAGAGGAGAGGAGCAGAAGTGGTGACAAGTGTCTCAGAGAGGAGTCCCTGAGGCTGCTTCAGGCAGGCAGACTTCATTTCATTGCTGTCTACAGACTCATGCTTTTTTTGCTTCTCTCATTCCCAAGCCTCACCTCCTCCCATTCATTTGCAGGGGCAAAATAAAGATGTGTTTATGTGCTCATGCTGGTTTGTTTTTTGTTAGTCGCCCGGTTGCCGGTTTGGGCTGAGTGCCCTCCAAGACTGTACTGGGGTTAAAGCTAAGGGAAAAGAAATGTAAATGGAAAGCTTTTTTTGATACAAGGCAGAGCTTGCTTGGCCTGCCATAAGCCTCTCTCCCAGCACCTCTCTGAGTGGCCTCTAAGGAACATGGCACTGATGGCTGTGCCCTTTGCAGGGACCAAAGAGGCAGCAGAGGCCAGCTCCTCTCCCACTGCCTTGGCGTTTGTACCAGAGAGCTGGAATCACTCCTGGCCATGAGAGGAAAGCCTCTGTCCCAGGTCTCACTCTCACTCAAAGCAATGGCTTTCTTCTGTGTATACTGAGCCTGTGCCACTGCTTTTTCAGGCAGCCTGGTGTCCATCAGCTGTTGGGACACCCACACAGTCCCACAAATTACAGGACTCTCTGCAAGGACGGTTCTAAAAATATCCAGCCATCATAAATTATCCTGAAATGAATTGTTTTAAAAATAGGTTCTGAAATGACTGTTCCTCTCTGTCTCCTACTAAAAGATCTGCTGGTAAAGAAGCCACTTAGCTTTCCACATGTACCAGCACTGGTTGCAGCCAGAGACTCATGCTTTGTCTGTTCAAGCCAAAACCCTGCTGCCTGACGCCAAAACAGACCTGGGTCTAAGGCATCCACACCCAGGTTTGCAGGGTCCTAAAGAAACATTGCCTATTGCTTGCCAGAAGCTGGCAACACACTGAACCACAACCAATTATCGTCCTCGTAAATAACAGTTAGCCTGGCAAAGGAGCAATGTGACTGTAAGAGCACAAACTGCAGGGAAAAATGTGGGCTGTATTTGACAAGGGCAGAACAAATTCTTCCCTGGATTAGCCATGCGAAAGCCCAGGGAATAGCCAGTTTGTCCTTATATATGGAAGCCAGCCAAAGCTGCTGCTAACAGATGTGCCCGAAGCTGTGCAGTGTGCGTATCTCATGCTCACCGTTAGCATTATCTTCAGTCTTGACAGGCACAAGGGGGCTCTGGGGAGCAGAGTCTCCACTGAGGGAGTAGCTGTGCTCTGCCTGGATGCCTGGAGTGGGTGGATCCAGGTCCATGTCCAGCAGCGGGTTCTTCTCAGCCAGTACTGGGTCATCGAAGAAACTGCTGAAGAGGTCGTTGGAGAAATCCTCCATGTTGTCAGAGAAGTGATCCAGGTTCTCTGAAAAATGCTGAGGAAATACAATGGGAGAGAGACTGTTAGTGTCAACTCCCAAGAAGGATCTGAGAGCCTTCCTCTGCACTGAGAGCCAAACCTCAGCAACAGCCCTTTTGGATGGGAAAAAGCAGTTCCTATCCCTTGCCTGCATCAGTTTGATAAAAACACCTTGAATTAAGACAGAAAGGGCCGTGGTGCTGTACATCTCTGCCTGTTTATCTACGCCACAAACACTTGTGAAACTCTTCTACATTCTGACATCTCCCCCTTCCTCTTGGGTACCTGTCTTCAGCTTCCTAGCATCATCTCACTGGGACAACAAGCCAAACAGAGCACACGGCAAGAAATCCCTGTGATGACAAAATACAAGTGTGGCAGAAAATCACGGTTTTCAGCACCTGTGCTTGGTGACAGGCACTTTCTCATGTTCTCTGCCAGCAGCAGTAGGCACTCTGATGCCCCAGAGAACATCAACCCGGCAGCTGATTTCTGTCTGAGAAAAAAAGATCAGTTGGATCAACATAACAGGAAGGCCCCCTGTTGTATTTAATTTCCTCTGGGATTTCACAGTCCCTCTGTGGACCATATGAGGCTGTCCTCAAGCCAGATAATGCCTGTGAAATTCGGCTCCCCGATGAAGTTTAAACACTACAGATGGGCTGTTAACAACAAACAATCATTCCACTAATCATTCCAGTAACAGTCAGTAAATCTGGCCAGTGCTGCTGCAGAGCTGGGCTCCTGATGCTACAGGGAACCTGTTTCCTTTGAGGCATATCCTCCTATTCAGAAGTCAAATCACTAACTTTTCCATTTGCTACCACAAAGCATTGGTTGGGCAGGGAGAAAAATGATGGTTGCCAAACACCAGCTGAAAAATTATCCCATTTGTTGGCAGATTGAGGCTACTGGCTCAGGGAGAGGAAAGAAAAGACAGATACATTCAAGTGACTATATTACACAGACGGAACTGTGTAACTTAAATGAACTGGAGAGAGCTCAGCAGAGTCAGACTGGGTCCCCCCCGCCTGGAAAAGCATCTGGGTGGGCAGAAAGGCATTGAAAGCAGCATACTGAAATACCAAGAGCAACAGGGTATGGATGAGAGTGGGAGAGAGCACGCAGGTCCTCGAGCAGAGACATGAATGCCAATGAATTCCAGCGTGAGAGCTGAGCTCAGGAAAGAGCCCAGCTCCTAGAGGAGCATGAGGTGTGTGCCGTCTGTCCTTCCATCAGCAACAGGACTGAGGGAGGAGTTGGCCAGAGGACCCCGGATGCTGGAGCCTGCAGGTTCCTGCTCCCACAGGAAGGTGTATTTGTTTTACCGGAGCACAGTATCACTCTGTCAACATTACGCTGGCTGTCAGAGGGTTGGGGTGAGGCTGGGGAGTGAAGTAGGCTCCAGCTGAACAGACTCACGCTTCCCACCAAGTGGGGGAGGGAGACAGTGAGCTGCAGCATTCTCCAACATGCCAGCACCTTTCACCTTCCAACATTATCCCTCAGCCACCCAGCTTAAAAACTCAGATCATGCTGGAAGTGTGTGTGTTGGGGAGGGAGTCGCTGCCACCTGCATTCTTCATGACACGAGGTTCCTCTCCCTTCTTTCGCTTGCCCTGTCCCCCCACTGCCTGGAGTGACAGCCTGACACCCCCCACACCCCCCCTCCCGAGGCTCCCCTGGGAGGGCAGACACTGCATGTGCAGGTAAGGTGAAGGCACACTCATGCTAAACCCCAGTGCTGAGGCCCTCTCTGGGATGTCTGGGCTGAAGTTTTCTCCATTTGTTCCCATACTGGAAGCAGAGTTGGCGGGGTAGCTTGGTAAAATCTACCCGTCCATTTCCAAGTTGCCTAGAAGCATTTCTGCACTTGAATCAAGCAACAGAAAACACCTCCCATCTGTGCTGAGCATAGCTGTTCTTCAGAGGGAGCTGAGTCAGCAGATGGAACTGGGTTAGATATTTATCTATAAAGTACTGGAAAACTTAGTTTTATCTTAACCTACAGCATGGAGGGGTAAAGAGTTTGGAGTCCCGATCATTAACCCCAGAGAGTGCCTGCTCATGTAACAGCTGTTCTTTGTCTTGTTTTCTCTAAACAACACAAGCAAACACAGGATATGAACACAATAGCCTTACGGTAAGGGTGAGAACATAACCACAGAAAAGTGAAGGGATTCAGAGTTCTGGCTGCCAATGCACCACGATGCAGCACAGCAGAGCCAGGATCCAACAAAAGGCACTCAAATCATATATACTGTTGTAACCATCACAACTAGAACCACCATCTAACCCTGGGAGAGAAGCAGGGCTGGATGGATGGACAGTTGCAGGGCAATCTGGCTGTGACTCTGCCACGTGCTTCAAATTTCTTTCACACCTGTGCATTAACAAAGGCAGAGGTGGGAGTGAAGAGAGTCAAGAAGATGCTTTTACGCAGTAGTTCCACACACTATCTTTTAGCAGCACCCCACCCATGCTTAGAACAAGAATCTCTTGGTCAGCCAACATCCTTCCCATTGTAAGACAAACCTACCTGGAGGGAAGAGGTGGAGGTGCACCTCTGGTTTTATTCTGAAGCCAGAAGTCTCCCCAGCAGTGGCTAAGGGGTAAGAGATGAGTTATGAGTGCAAGGGGTGGAGTATCAGAGCCTTAACATGGGCACCAACACTGGCAGGAGTAATTGCAGATTTCTGGTTCTTTTAGACACCACACAGCAGGCTTGCTGGAGGACCCTGCTGCTTGGAAGTGAGGATGAAGGCAACACTGTTCTCCCAGAGGTGCAGGAGTTTAGGTCCCCAAGAGACCATTCTCTCCCAAGAGATAGAGACCTACTACAGAGTGGGGGAAAAACATGGGTGATATGCAGTGATACTCACACCCTCCCTGGGAATCCAGAAATGTTGGGGCACATACCCGTCTCTGGGCTCCTGGGTCTTATTCTCCAGCACAACTAAATACCGGCAGCGCCTTCTCATCAAAGCAGCCCTCTTTCAGCTCTCACCAGTCATATGTATACCAGTCCAACATCTCCAGACACAGATTTTGGGGAGAAGGGAGCTAGCCTATGAGATCGGGAATAACTGTGGTTATTATCAGAGGGGGCACGAAGGATCAGACACCCACAAAGAGGGAGAGCACCTAGAGCTGTCCCAGTTGGATATTGCTATTTTACTAAAAGAAGGTGGCAAGAAGCAGAGGAAAGCAGAAGGAAGGGTAAAGCAAAGACAATGACATGAGCTGGCTATATCCACACCAGACAAGCAGGATGTGAAGCCACCAATGTCCCAGGAAGACTGCTGTGTCTCTTGGGTTGGCTTTGTTCTCTCCTGACACCAACAGGTATTGCTAACTTCAGATTTCTGATTAGTAAACACAGCCATGCGTGAAACCAAATGCAATAGGAAAGAAGTGCCCTCTTGCCCAGATCCAACCTGTGATGGGCCCAGTGAGGAGCAGCCCAGAGTTTATTTCAGATAGATGCCATCAAATCACTGATCATTTGTTTAGATTGAGCCTGCTAACCCAGAATACGCAAACTCTGTCCCACCCAGCCTTGCTGGGGGAGATGCACCTATCTGGCAAAACTCAGAGAAGGCTTCAGCCATGCTCTTCCTTAACGCCATGTGAGAGAGAAGGCTCCGGGGAACTGCGGGCCCCAGGGTACAGTGTCTCAGGGCTGTGTGGATCATGTCAGAGCATGGCAGGGTCAGTGCTCCAAGTGTCTGAGTGGCAAACAAGCAGTTTTATCACCTGACCAAATGGAGGGTGATTTATACTTGCTGGAATGTCACATGCCAAAGGAGGTGCTGAGTAGCCACTAGCCTTCCCTTCCCACCCAGACTGGAGCCAGCACAGCTGAAGGCTTTCATGTGCTACCACTAAATGAAAACTGTGCTGGCCTTTGTGGAGACTTTTGCCTACGTTGTGTCAATGATCTCAGCAGTCCAGAAGCATGTGTTGGTGGAAAGTCCAAGAAAGATTCCCCAAGACTCGGATGTGAATGAAGGTGGGATGGACGGAGATGCACAAGCAGAGGAGGCTCATCCTCTCACAGCCTCTTCAAGGCCTAGGCTCTCTCCTTGAGAGCACCTTACAGCCAGGATGGGATCAGCCAGCTCCCACTCCTCAGAGAACTGGTCAAGAATTTCTGATTGTGACAGTGCTCTGCAACTCTTCTGAGATTCTCCTCTAAGATATCTCAAGTAGCTTTCACACAGATGGGCCTGGCTTGAGCAAGGCAACCAGTCAACTGGGAAACGTGATCCTTACCATCCTGGCCCAGAGGGTGCGGGTGTGAAGTGTACTGGGGGAAAACAGCTTCCAGATGGGATACAAAGCTCACAGCACAGTCTCATTTTGCATTATTCGCTCCTGATATCTCCCCCTCCCTTTCACACCCTCCTTCCTTCTCCTTCTAACTATGCTCCAAAGCCAAGAAATAGCACGAGATGTGTTTCCAAAGCTGTATTACCAGTGAGCGGTCAGGGAGGGGGCAGCCAAGGGACAGAAACGCAATGGTGAAGATGTGCTGGATTTCTTGATCCAAACCCGGTTTCTGGCTCTCTGTGCCCCCACCACAGTTCTGGGAGGACGGGGAGGCAGTGCCTGAAGGGGATGAGCCAGGAAGCGCAGGTACCGGGAAGTCAACGACCGCTACATCTCCAGGCCCTACTGAGAGCCTGAAGCTGCTCTGATGCCACAGGAGAATCTGCTCGGGCTGAGGCCACCTCAGCCGCGGGGAGAGAGTGCGAATCTGTCAGCTGCTGGCTCCTGCTCCCTCCCACTCCTGGTGATCGACATAGGCACTGACTCTTCCAAACATATTTCCACCACATGTTTTCATCCTGACCTCATGCTTAGGGTTGTCTAAATAGCGCACTGTATGTGCGTGCGTGCATTTCTCATTCAAACACCCTTTCCTGTTGTACAACAGTTATCTTGGGAGCTAATGTAAGGCATCCAGACATCCAAATGCAAGCTCTCTATTTCCCCCCACCCAGAGCTAGTGTTAGATTTCTGGGGGTCTCAAGCAGAGACTGAGGCATTAAGCCTTTTCCCTGCCCAGGTGTGCATGGGATGCCTTCAGGTGCCACTCTTGTAGCCCAGGAGCATCACACATGGCTGAGAAGGGGACAGTTTTCTCTCCTTGGATCCACTTATCCTCCGTGGTCACCTTGGCTTCATCTGTCTCTCCTTTTCCCT